GAACTAACCTTCATAAAAATGGCTTCTCCTTTGGGGACATATTCAAACATATCTCCTCCAACATGTTTCACACCTGTCCCATGGTTACAAATACTTTCTGAGTTTCTGTTAGCTGTTAGAAATTAAAGGAAGTGAAAAGCAGACACGGAGTAGAGCAAGGGTTGCGGGATTTTGACCTCTGTGTCAACTTGATTTGCAGGTGACGTCAAAATTCGTCTCTTTTATTTTACTTTATTTTAACTATTTTAATCAGACCAGCTAAACTCCTGGAGATCTCCGTTTCTGTAGCCTGAGCTCGAATCTGCTAAGCTCCGCCGGTCGAAGACTACATAAAGAACAGGGTTTAGTGGTTTAGGACTCCGTTATCCCGTTTAGGGCTGATTCTTGCAGTAGGTCCAGATGTCTACTTGTATTATTGCTTTTTTTTTCTTTTTTTTTGTTTTTTATGTATTTTTCTCACCAGTTAGGGTTTGTTTGTTTTGTGGGTTTTTTTTATAAGTATGCATGTGTGTATCTTTGATGATGACTATGTATGTTATTGTGGCAAGAACGACTGTTTTTGGGATAATTTTTACTGTTTAGAGAGAAATTTAGTTATTGTCGGGTTTTCATACAAGTGTATAAACTTATGTTGTGCTTTGTCAGTGTTGATACTTGGAGTTTTAATCATGTTTACGTGCAATGTAGCTGTAAAGAGATCTATTTTAGTGTTTCAAATTGGAATGCCAAACCTGAAATTGTAATCTATCAACTTAGAGTCTGTGGTGAAGTCATTTCTCGAATTGGCTGGTCTTTTTTGAGATCTACTCAGTGTTGTGTATCTTTTAGATTGGAAGTTTGCTTTTTCCGGTGGCCAATTTGGGAGGTGATGGAGCTTACGAGTCTTAATTTATTTTTACTGAACCAGAAACTACAGATTTTGACTTTGGTCTGGAAACGGTAGGATTAGGAAGAAAGAGTACACCTTTTTCATTCATTTTGTAATGCTTGTTTTAAGCTAGTTTGATTTTGAGAGGAATATGCCTTTTGTGATTCTTAGAGATTTTTTGGGTGCATTTTCTAATGCGTATTTGAAGTGGTTTAGAGTTCTTGTCTAAACAACTCAACCGTTAAAAGTTAGCTACTTGAGCCATTTGGCAAGCTTTCCTAAGCACCCACAAAAGTTCCAAATAGCACTTAGTATGTGGCATGAAGGGAGACATTGTTTGTTCGTGGTAAAAAATTTCAGTCCAAAAGAACTCTCTACATTTTTGGATAGACCCTGTACTATTGGCAAGTTGTATATGATTAAGCAATTAAAAGTGTGAATGGCTATTATCCATTGGGAGAACTCCCATACAAGGTTGGTTATAGCAATATAAGGCTCAAATGGAATGTGGGATTGAACAATGACCAATGCAATAGTAATCATATCTAATGAACCGTCTATCCAATTTGAGGCGGTTTCCAAATGCTCTATTAATGGTAATTCCTATCAACATTTGATAACCTAAAACCTGTATCTATGGTTATGATCAAACTAGCCATCCATTCGTCTACTACTGGACCATTAAAACAGGAGTGACAAGAAGCTGACAAGAAAGGCTTATCAGTTGCACTCAATTCTATGGGCCTTAAGGCTTGGCATTTATTATTACTCTTAGTTCAAGTGGTTGTGCCCATCAGATAAACAATATTGGTGTTTGTTGCCATTTGCTATTTTCTGCTACCTTTAGTAGACTTGCTGAATGTAAGGTTAAGTAAAGCTAAGTGTTAATTCTAGGACACCAGCGCACATAAGACATTAGTGATAAGGAGTGGCAATTGGGTGGGCTGGGTTGGACATTGGTTGAAGTGCAATCCTTCCACTAACCACCCATACCCATTACACACCCATTGCCCAGCCTAATCCTTATCCAACCCTATGGACCTTATCCATTCACTCAAACTCATTTAAATTGAAAAAGTTCTCTTTTTCTCCACCTATCCACATCAAGCATGGAGATCAACTGTTATTAGAAAGATAAGGCCATGTATTATGTGTTGACAAATGTTTGTATATCTTGGTTGTTCATTTGCACTCGCCCCTTTGTGTAGACTTTTGCTTGAAAGCTCAGCAAGATGTAAGGTGGTGGTTGTTTCATGGGATTGGAAACACTTTAAAGAACTTGCCATTGTTGATTTGAACTGTTCAATTGATCTTATTGATTCCAGTGACGATCCCAACACTTCAAAGAAATGATTCTTATCAAAATATCCAGTTATTTTTTCTTTTCTTGGCAAACTATAGCGTTCATCTCTTCCAAATGGACTAAAGAATAACAGCTCCAATACACCTCAATCAAACTTCACTTTTAGTTGGAGAAGAAGAGAGTGTTTGCAATTCTTAGAAGCATAAGAACATGAAACAAATGGGCAGTAAATAGAATCATTTTTAGAATTGCAATAAGGGGCCCTTACTTGGTGTAATAGTAAAATCTTGGGTTGGCAAGCATGATATTGTGGGTTTGAATCTGAGGATGTCCACTTTGTGCTGACAAAAAGGCCAAAGTTCAGGCCCATACCTGGTCCACCCCTCCCAAGACCCCAGATAGCTGTGACCAACATTGGATTATGGCCTATTTTTATTCTTAGAATTTCAAGAAACATATATTACAGGGGGGCATACCTCAATTTGTTTTGTTTGTCTTTCTGAATTTTCTATCAGATGAGTAAACATATGGGACCCTTGCAATGAAAGTGAGTGCTCTCATCTGATAACTAGACTAGAAAAGTTACCATTCAATGTGGTCCCTCTTCCATGAGAGACATTTTGACTAGTTAATTGTATTAGACAATATTTTGGTGCGGAAGCTAAATAACTAAAATCAGAAATATCTGTGAATTTTATATATTTTCTATTCTTGGATAATAGGGATATTTGTCCATTTTACATCTCATTTGGGGTTGGTTTAGTATTTATTTTTGTCTACTCATATATTATTTTCATATTTTAGGAGTTTTGAGTTTTTGTCAAGTATGATAGTGGAAATTTTGTCACTTCTGTTTTTCTTAGTTCTAGTAGAATTAACTACCTTTGTACAATTCATCCATGTGTCCCTCAAAACATCAAATATTGGTTTCAATCATAGTCATATATCACTCAATCCTTCAACCAGTGTAACACAAAACAATAACCATGATCAGTGTTGCCAGAATTTGCTTAGCTTGATATGGTCAGACAGGCTAAATGGTTTAATGCCAGCTGCAAGTGGAGACATAAGTGTAATTAAGAAAGGAACACAAACAATAATTTTTTTTTGATCAATAACTTTGAAACTTTTATTGATTGAAATACTTTAGGATACAACAATAAGTTACAAAAGAAATCAGCATAGTAAGCTGACCCAGTATAGAATTACAAGTGTGCCCAAAACATATCTGTTCTGTGAACCCCTGGCTTTGCTAAGCTATCTGCCAAACTGTTGGCAGATCTCCTTACCCATCCCACCTGAATTGACAAGTTCCTTGACATCCATTTAAATCTTCTGAATTCATTCTTCAACTGCCATGTCACCCCTTCCCCTTTCTGCAACCATTTTATCACAGTTTTTGAAATTCCCTCGATGTTCAGTCTATTGATCCCCAACTTTTTAGCCTTCTCAACCCCATATACTGCAGCTAGAAACTCTGCCCTTGTCACATCACCTACCTCCACAGGACCGGAATAAAGGGCAATGATGGAACCATTTTCGTCTCTAATGCCCCCCCAATACCTGAAGGGCCTGGGTTACCCACACAACTCCCATCAAAATTTCTTCCAACCCTCTGTTGGGAGGGGACCAAGTCTCAACAAACTGTCATCTCATAGATGATGAAGCAGCAATGAGTCCCCACACCCTGAAAAAATCTTCAACCTTGAAAGCTGAAAACAGCTTCAAACTTTTTACCCAGTGAGCCACCCTCAATGTTATTGTTTCAACTAAAGCTTCCTTGAATTTTTCTTTACTTTCGAAAATCCTATTGTTTCTTTCCTCCCAGATGGTCCAAAGTATTGCTGCTCTAGTGCATCTCCAAAGAATCCTTCCCCTCCTTGTCATACCACTGATACCATTATGGTTGAATAAGCCTTTCACCCTGTCAGGAGGGACCACCTGCACCCAAAAAGGGAAGTAAACCAATTCCAAATAAAACTGACAAAAGGGCAAGATATAAGAAGGTGGAAAACAGTCTCACCATTCAATTTACACACAACACACCAGTTAGGGGACAAGCACCAGTTTGGTCTTTTCCTTTGAATTACATCAAAGGTGTTAATACAACCATGAGAAACTTCCCAACAAAAAGCACCGACTTTAGGGGGGATAGGAGGGCACCAAATTTTTTTGACTGGAAAATGAAAAGATTGTGTGGCAACCATCGAATGTAGAAAGGATTTACAAGAAAAGGACCCTTCGGTATTAGGACCCCAAATTCTAGAATCTGACCCACCCTCCCCCAAACAAACTGAACTCAACAATCCTAACAGCTCAGACACTGCAAGAAGTTCAGACTCTCTAATAATTTTTAATGTACTGTTTTTGTACCCTTCTATCAACTATTGGATAAGAAGGAATATTTTTGATTGTCTAATGAAAAACTTTTTACTGTTGCTTATAAAAAGTAGAAATAGAGATATTTTTAATGCATTCTTTCTTCTTGTATTTGTTAAAATTGCACCTCCTTAATTGTCATGTGTGATTGGAAGAAATAGCTGTATACAATAGAGATCAGTATTTGCACTTTTTTAGATGGCCATGCTAAAGAATAATTGAAATTGACTATCTGATTAAGTTTGGGAAATCAAGAAATGTACTTTGTGTCTTTTGCAACGGGATATGAACATTTACTGCTTTGAGATAGTTCTTGCTAAAACGAACTCAACACAAAATTTGATTCTGTGCAAGCCCAATCTGATAAAGATGAAATAAACTGAATTTTCCTTTGTTTATAATTTAATATGGCCATTAACTTGTGATGCCTTACATTGATGCTAGACATGAAGCAATCTTGTATTACAGGATTTAAAATAAATGGGTGACTGCATTGTGAACTCTTGATGTGCTTTATTGCTCAAGCAGTTGATTTTCCTTTTTCTATTTCTTTGTGTAGACCCTTCGGCTGCATTAATACATCACGTTGGGCATAAATTCCATGATTTATTTCAGTTGAAACAAAGATGCTATGCCAATCTCCCTGCCACTAAGATTTCAGAAATGTTGAAATCTACCAGTTTAGAGGTAATTTCCTGTACCTATTGTAAAATGGCCTCAGTAATTGATCAAGTTGGTTTCATCATTAGATAATAAACATTCTGTTTTTTATGCCTCTCCAAGTTATTATCATGTTCCCCCTTATCCTCACATTTGTTTATATTGTTTATTTATTTATTTATTTATTGCAGAATGCTCCAACTCAGTCACTATTGAGTGTTGTGAAGGGGATTTTAGATGAAAGCATTGAAAGGAAGAATGGGGAAATAGCTCATGTATGCCCAATGATAAGACATTTTGATGTTATAATAAACCACCAGTGGATCAATAACAGAATCTCTAATGTGAAAAATTGTTTTTTTTTCCTTGTTTTGCACAGCGTGTGGCATGTCTTTTGAAAAAAGTAGTGCAGGAGATTGAACGGCGGATTGCTACACAGGCAGAACACTTGGGAACTGTAATATAATTTCAGGAATTGGTTGTTTTGAAGATAATTTTTTTTGTCTATTCCTTATTATTGTTCTCATATCTGCAGCAAAATAGTCTCTACAAGGCTCGCGAAGAGAAGTACCAATCTAGGATCAGAGTACTTGAAACCCTTGCAACTGGTGCTCATGAGGAGACGAAGGTGCATTAACAATTGACAATCATACATTTTGATGGCATGAACATTTTTCTAATTCTTTATTATACCACTAGTGTTCGCTCATATAAGTTGAAAAGGTTCCTTTTTTTGTTACAGATTGTTATGAACCAACTGCAGCAGATGAAGGTCTGATTTTAACCTATCATCATTTTTTTGCTTTTCATGGCTATTTGAGCACTTTTTCCTCATGTCTATCTTCAATTTCATTGTCTTTTTTTGAAATATATATTTTTTCATAAATCCTTTCTCTTCTTTATCCACTACTAGTGTTTTTTTTTTGTCTCACAATTTTATCCACTGCTCTTTTTAAAACATTTGCATGTTATATCCATAGTTTTCAAGGCACTTAAGGGAGGCTAGGCAACCATGGGGTGCTAGGTGATGGAATTTGAAAATATTAAATTTATTGAATTCCTATACGCTTTTAAGTTATTTTATTGGTTTTGTATGCTAACTTGCAAGAATGTACACTAACCATTAACACTAGAATCCTTCAAATGAGTATAAATTTCATATAAACTAATTAAGGGGTGGAGCGTTGGGATTTGGGAGAGAGCTAGTAATTATACATCTTTAATTTGCTGATGACATAATCTTACTTAACGACAGGGGTGATGAAGAGAATATAAGGGATCATTTGGTTAAATGGAGAATAGTTTGTAAAGGCAAGAGCAATGGGGTTGGTTATTTGTTGTTCGCAAATCAGAATAAGGGCCTTATTAGGTAAATGGCTGTGGAGATTGGCAATAGAGGCTGATAAACCATGACACAAAGTGATGGTGAACATTCATGGTTTGTAGGTTAATGGATGGGATGAAGGTGTGGTTGTAAGGACCTCCTAGCATCTCCTTGTAAAGTTATATGTATTCTCTCTGTATTTTTATCTTACATCAGGTATGATGCAAGTTCTGTTCACAGAATTTTGTTTTGGGAAGACTTGTGGATAGGTTACTCCCCATTGAAAGACATCTTCCCTTCTCTTTATGCCATTCAAACCTACAAACTTGAGCTTGTGTTTAAATCTGTTTCCTTTTCTATTCATGGGCTGGATTGGGATCTCTATTTTCATAGGGGTTTTAGAGACTTGAAAGCCCCTATTAAAATCTTAGATGGTGTCTTCTTTGATTTCTGTAGACCAGATTGTCATGTTTGGATTACCCACCCTTGTGGAACCTTTTCTTGTGCCTCTTTCTTTTGTGCTCTGTCCAAACCTAACTCATTGGTGCGCTTCTTTTCCATCTAAAGAGATTTGGAGCAATTCCATGCCTCTTAAAATAAGGGCTTTCTGTTGGGAGGTGTATCATGAGGTAATCAACATGTGCAAAAGACATCAGAAGAAGAGACCTGGCTGGTATCTCTCTCTACATGTTTGTATCTTGTGTTTAGCTAGTGTGTAATCTTTCCATTCACTAATCTCCTTTCTATTTATTTCTTGTGTTTAGGAGTGGTGTTTCTTGCTTTTTGGTCGCAGGTGGACCCCTCCAAATTATGTAACAGAGAGGTTTGTTTAGTCTAACAACATTTCTTCAACAAAAAAAAGAGGTGGAATCATGTAGAGATGCTTTAAGAGCAGTTACTGTTTGGACGATTTGGGAGAAGAGGAATGCAAGGACATTAATGGAAAGTGTCACTCCAAGGAAGTTTTATTTGGTTGCACCAAAAGTAATGTGGAGTGGATATCTTTGGCCTGTTTTTCATGATGACGTCCTTGGAGGTTGGAGAATGGTAGCCAGTTCATTTACTAAAGTGGCAGTGCTTCAAAAAATGGTGTGAACCACTTCGAGGTGAACCATAAAACTAACTATTATTGGAATCAGCGTCAACAATCCTGCCCCATCAGGGGTGGGAGGGGTCTTTAGAGTTTTAATGGTTCTGTAATAGCACTATTTTTTCATGACCTATTGGTAATGTGAACAAAATAAGAGCTGAGGTATTAACTGTTGCATAGGGTTCAACAGCAAGGTAATGTGGCTTTATAGACTAGTAATCAAGGGGATAAATTGGCTGGTTAGAGAAGTAGTTGTAACTTTTCAATAGGTTCAAAGATCTGTAAATGCAATGGCTAAACAAGGGGTTTGTCGTGAACAAATGTTTTAGGCTTGATTGTAATATTACGAAGATGGGGTAGGTGGCTAGTCTGGCCTATTTTTGGGTTCTAAGCCTTGTATGTACTTTATTCTTTCTTAATTTTAATAAAGTTTTGTTACCTATAAAAAAAAGTTAGAACATTGTCTTATTAACACAAACATTGAAAATTAGAAACACAACGAAATAAGGGATTCTTAGAGATTGAGGTGCAAGGAGTGGAACACCCCTGGTGAAGTGAGACAATAACTTTTGAAAAAAAGAAACTTTATTATGAAACAATGTGCAAATATAAATTTGAAGAAATAAAATATTTCAAAATACCTACTAGAAGAACTGGTTAAAGCATTGTGTTATTAACACAAATAACATCCATGTACATGCAAGTCCCTGATAGGAAAAAATGTTTAAACATGAAGATAAATTTTGATAAGAGCTATATAGTGGGGATCAACATGGAGGAGAGGGCTGAGGTTTTGGGATGTGTGGTTTCACAATGGCCTTTGAAGTATTTGGGGATGCCTTTAAACATTCCGAATGTCCCCATTGGTCTCCATGAACCCAAGGATTTGTAAGTTAAACTTTGACGAGAGCAGTGAGGGTAACCTAGGACCTTCAGGTGTAGGAGGTGCATTCAGAGACGGAAATGGGAAAGTGTTTGCATTGTTCTTAGGTCCCATTGGGAGGGGTGACTCTCTTAGAGCTGAAATGTATGCCTTTCTAGAAGGTTTAAGGAAGGCAAAAGAGTTGAATGTTCATAAAGCTGATTGTTGAAGGAGGCTCCCAACTAGTATTAAATTGGTTAAGGAAGGATTGTGGACTTTGGATGTATGCTATGAGAGGAGAGAGGTTAAGTGGTTATCTAGGGGCTTGAAAATTCAATTTCAATAGGTGACGAGAACTCTACTAATGCCTTTGCAGATAACTTGGCAAAGTAGGGGGTGGGAAGGAGTCAATTATTTTGGGCTGTTCTGTAATTTTCTTTTCGGGTTCTCTGGGGAGCTAAGTCATTTTATCTCCCTTGAGTTCTGTATGCAATTCTATTTATTTTATTAATATAAGTTTTTGTTATTGATAAAAAAATTGTTTAAGCATCATAGCTACAATACACAGTCGGTAAATGTCTGTTAAACATCAAATCCATGTTTTGATTAATCAAAATGTGGAACAATCTGGGTGAGGTGTACTTGGGTTCAAAGTGTACCAATCTCACCAAGCCTAGACATGCCTTTTGAAACATTGGTCCATACTTCCAGATATTGTATAATGGTGGATGCGAATACCAAAAGTTATGGTAAATTCACAATACATCTTGAATATGCTTCAAATATATAGTTGATTGATTATTGTCCTATATGTATTATGTTACATGTAATGTGGGAAGGACCTTGGTGTTTAGGGGGTGATTTTAATGTTGCTAGATTCATTGAAGAGACTATCAACCCAAGGTAGAGAATTAACACAAGTATGAGAAAGTTCAATCAATTTATTGAAAGGTGTGAGCTTAAACAGTTGTAGTTGACCTATAGTAATTTTACTTGGTCAAATTTGCAATCAATCATAGTGACGAGCATTCATGGGTTGGAGGAAAACGGATGGGTTGCTAGAATTTGGGCAAGGACTACAAGTGTATAACCTTGGAAAGCCATCCATGACTTGCCGGTTTTCTCCTCTCTTATTAGGTATGACTTAAATTCAGGCAACCTTATAAAATTTTGGGGACAAACTTGGGTGGGGAATGCCCCTTTGAAGGATCAATTTCCATCCTTGTACATCTTTTCTGACTTGAAAAATGAGCTAGTTTCTTCCTTCATTATCCCTTCTTCTTCCAACTCTGGGACTGGGTGGAATTTGGGATTGAGGAGGGCTGTTAGAAATACAGACCTAAATAGCATTCTATGTCTCCTAGGTCTTCTTGAAAGTATCTTCTTGGACCCCACAAAAGAAGACACTAGAATTTGGACCCCCACCCCCCTTGGCTTTCTCTTGTGCCTCTTTCTTCAAAGTTGTAACACAACCAACCAATCCCTTGGGTCTTCCTTTCCCTGTCAAAGAGATTTGGTACAAACCAATTCCTCATAAGGTTGGTAGTTTTTGTTGGGAAGCATTTATGGAAAGAATCAACACTAGTGATTTGATCCAAAAGAAGAGACCCAAGACATGTTTATCCCCTCACAGGTGTTTTCTTTGTAAAGCTGATAGGGAGACTGGTTTTCACCTATTGGTGCCATGCCAGTTTGCAAAGACTATTTGGGAATGGGATTCTTCCCTCTTTGGGTGTAATTAGACCCCTTCGTTGAACTTGCAGAGCCTTTTTTCTTCTTCTTTTTTCTAGTGGCATTTGAAAAAGGGGTAGGACTATATAGAGATGCCTAAGGGCTGCGGTATGTTGGTCTTTATGGGAAGAAAGAAACTCTAGGATTTTCTCCGAAGCAAAGAGAAGTGCTGAAGATACGAGAGAAATGATCCATATAAGGGCGGTGTAGTGGCTAAAATTATTAGAGCTGTTCACAAATTATATAGTCGATGATCTGTTAAGGAAATGGGGAGAGATTGCTAGATGCACCCAAGTCAAAATAGGATTGAGTTTGTCTTGGATCCCTCCCCCCTCTGGTTTTTGAAACAAAACTTTGATGGTAGTAGTAGAGGGAACCCTGGGCATTCAGGGGTTGGGGGTATGTTTAGGGATGAGAATGGGAATGTTTCAGCCCTATTCTTAGGTCCAATTGGGGTTGGTTATTCTCTCAGAGCCAAGATCTATGCATTTATGGAAGGTGTTCAAAATGCAAAGGAGATGAATATAAGAAGACTTGTAATTGAAGGGGATCAAAGGTGGTTGTAGGGTGGCTAAATAAAGACAATACTGGGTTATGGAATTACAACAATGAAAGGAGAAAGTTTAGATGGCTGGTTAAAGACATGGAAGTCAAGATCAATTGGGTGAAGAAATCAACTAACTCGTTTGTTGATGGATTTGCTAAGCAAGGGGTGGCGAGGGCATCTATGTTCTGGGCTTAGTTGTAACTCTAACTTCTATTCATGGGGCTCAAGCCTCAGTTGGGGAGATAAGAAAGTTTATCTCCTCCTTTGTAATTAATATTTTTGATTGATTAATGAAATGTGTTATTGATAAAAAATTGAATCCAATCTGATTTGTTCTACATTAGACAGGTTTTTATTCACCTTGTATTGGGAGGAGCATCGGGGTAAAGAAAAGCTTGCTTGAAGAAAGGTGGTCTTTAAGGAAACAACTGGAACATATATAATTCAAAAAAGAGATAAGTTGGAGACAAAAATCAAGGAATAGCCATAGTCTTCAAGGCGCCAAGGCAGGTGATAGGGGGTGCTTTGCCTAGGTTCCATAACCATATTTCCTTAATAATTATCCTTAATTTTTATAAGTAAATTATAACTGTCATGTTAAAGTATAGAAAATCAATATATTCATGAGAAGAAAAAGAAGAAGAAAAGAAAACTAAAAAAAACATAGGGGCTGAATCCCTATTTTTGTTTTAGGAAAAGTATAAAAGAAAAGGCGGAAGAAGAAGTGTTGGTTAGATAAAATTTTAAGTTCTTCTCTATTGGTTTAGGTTTTGAAGTCTTTGAGGGTTCACTAAACAATTAGCAATGTTTATGTTGATTAAACCCTAACAAATAAGAAAATAATAAAAAGAAATTAATAATTAATATATAAACACACAAAATGAATATTTTAGTTTAATAATGTCTATTTTATATTATAATCTCAAAAAATTAAGAATATACAAGAATTTTATTACATAACATAAAAAACTACTTGGCAATTAGGTGAGGCGAGCCTTTAAGGGTGCTTGTCACATAGGCGTTGCCTTGACAATAGATATACCAAAGTTTTCAATGCTCTGGCTAATGGAAGGAGGAGAAACTTTGTCTCCAAATTGGTGGTGGGGGATGCCACTTTGACTGATCAAAATGGGATTGCCCAAGCTTTTGTGGATCATTTTAAGTCGATCTTTGGGAGATCCTTGGATAGAAGAATGTGGATTGATTGTTTAGAATGGTCTAAGTTAACTGAAAACTCTAAGGTTTGTTTGGAAAGGAGATTTGAGATTGAGTTGATCAAAGAGGTTGTTTCCTCTATGGGTAGATCTAAAGCCCCTGGTCCGGTTGGTTTTACAATTTCTTTCCACCAAGATTGTTAAGAAGTATTAAAAAATGATTTTTGGAAAGTCTTTAACTAATTTTTCAGGAGAGGTGTAATAAAAAATCTGATGCTGTGCACCCAAAAGATTACATGCCAATTAGTTTGATTAATAGTTTGTACAAAATCATTGCTAAGGTTCTTTCTCAGAGAATTGGGGCTATGTTTTTGATCTCATTGGCTCAAGGGGCCTTTATTATCGATAGACAAATGATTAATCAGATTTTGATTGCCAATGAATGTGCTAAAGAAATGAAGAAATCAAGAAGGAAGTGATTGATTTGTAAACTAGACTTAGAAAAGGCATATGATCTTGTCGGTTGGGGTTTCTTGATTGAAGTGATAAAAAATTTTGGGTTTGGCGATAAATGGTGCAGGAGGATCTTAGGATGTGTTAGGACATGCCATTATTCAATTTTGGTCAATGGAACCATGGCTGATCATTTCCAAGCTATTAGGGGAATTAGGAAAGGGAGCCTTTTTTTTCCATTCTTGCTCACTCTAATTGCGGAAGTTCTTGGAAGATTGATCCTTAGGGCTGATGCTAGGAACATAGTGAGGGCTGGAGAATTGGTAAAGAGGAGATTCTTGTCACTCACCTTCAATTTGTTGATGATACAATCTTGTTTTGTGATGGAAATGACTTATGATGGGTGGGAAATTTAATGATGATAGTCTTGATCTTTGAGAAAATATCGATTTTGAAAGTGAATTAGGACAAAAGTTGTCTTGTGGGATTGAACATGGAAGATAGACAAATTGCTGAAGGAGTTGAGGTGTTGGATTGTAAGGTGGATAATTTGCCTGTGAACTATTTAGGTTTACCCTTGAGGTTTTGGAAACCAATTGTTGAAGGATTTTCCAATAGGTTGGCTTCGTGGACGAAGTGTTACTTGTCCTTAGGGGGTATGATAACCCTAATTAGGTCCACTCTTGCAAATTTTCCAATTTATTTTTTGTATGTCTTCAGGGTTCCAAGAGGGATTAACAAGCAACTAGAAAAAAATGATGAGAGATTTCTTATGGGAGCAAGGGGAGGAGAAAAAAAGACCACAGAGTCAGTTGGGAGGTGGTTAAAAGAAGTAAGAAGTTTGGTGGGCTAGGGTTATTCAGGATAAGAATGTGGCTCTACTTGCAAAATGGCTTTGGAGATTGCCAAAGGGACAAGCTGCGGGTGAAGGTGATTATCAGTATTCATGGTCTCGTGGCTGATGATTAGGATGCTGGTGTGTTGGCCAGGGCTACAAGAGCTTCCCCTTGGAAGTCTATTCATGCCATCCTTCATTCTTACCATTTGTTAGATATGATCCTTGTTCTGGTAATCTTGTTAAATTATGGGTGCATTTATGGTTGGGTAATGTAACTCTCAAAGAGCAATTTCCCTCAACTTATGCAATTTCTAATCGGAAGGTTGAACCTATTGCCTCATTTGTGACCCATTCCATCTTCTCCTTTGGATATGTTTGGGATAGGGGTGATCATGGGCCGGGTCGGGAAAGCCCGGGCCCGGCCCGGCCCAGGGTTCCGAGCTTGTAACATAAGCCTTAGCCCTGGTCTACAATGGTCCGGGCCGGGCTGGGCCTGATTTTGGGCCAATGTCTTTCATATATAAAACATTACATATCTATAATATTTTATATTAAATGACAACATGCATATAAACTTTTATTTTATATATTATATAATATAAAATATTACATATAATATAAATTATGCATGCCATTTATACGTTATACACAAAATGTGCAAGTTTAAATATATGCGGGCCGGGCTTGAAGTATTAAGCCCAAGCCCGACCCTAAAATTTGTGGGCCTGATGTGGGCCCAGGCCTGAACACAAATCCCAGGCCCAAGCCCGGGTTTTCCGGGCCGGGCTGAAATGATCACCCCTAGTTTGGGAGCTAGGCCTTAGGATAGGTCTTAGAGACTGTGAGGTCAACAATGTTCTTACCTTGATCCAACATCTTGAGAGTGTATTTGGACCCTTCAAGAAGGGATTGCAGAATCTGGACTCTCTCTCCATCAGGTACTTTCACTTGTTCTTCTTTCTTTCTATCTCCAATCCAGTCCAATTATAGCCAGGTTCAACTTTTCCCAATTAATGAGTTTTGGAGTAAGCCTATTCCGCCTAGGATAGGTGGCTTCTGTTGGGAAGTGATTCTTGGTAGTGCTAATACTTGTGATTTTCTCCAACGGAAAAGACCTAACTGGTGCTTATCTCCTCATTGATGTCTTCTTTGTAAGGCTAATGGTGAGTCTTCCTTTCGCTTTTTAATCTCTTGTCCTTTTGTATTTCCAATTTGGGATTGGTTTCTTTCTTATTTGGGTCAAGGTGGAATCCCCCATCAACTATACAAAGCCTATTCGACCCCACCTTTGCTAGTTGGAAGAACAGAAGAGGCAAAATTTTGTGGAGATGTACGAGAGCTGTTGTGTGCTGGGCAGAAGAAAGAAATCAAAGATTATTTGCAGAAAAGGAAAGAAGTCGGGAAGCCCTTATTGAAGCAATTACAACCTGGGTGATCCATTGGGTGTAGACTTCAAAAATATTTGAAGGAGTTTCTTCTGCTGATTGATGAGAAAGTGGAGGGAAGTGGCTGACTCTGCTCCATTGGAAACTGTCCTTAATCCATCCTGGACCCCTTCATCTGATGGGTTTCTCAAACTGAATTTTGATGGTGGTGAGGGTAATCCTGGACCTACAGGCACAGGGGGTGCCTTCAGAGATGAGGATGGCACTATTAGAGCTATATTCTCTGGCCCTATTTGTGTAGGTTACTCATTGAGAGCTGAAATCCTTGCTGTGATGGAAGGAATACAGAAAGTCAAGGAGCTAAATGTTACCAAACTGATAATTGAAGTGGACTCAAAGCTTGTTCTTGGTTGGCTTCAAAAGGAGGAGGAGATGGGCTAGTGGGAGTATATATAAATGAAAAAAGGAAGTTCAGAGATATGGCTCAAGGAGTGGAAATTCAGTTTCATTGGATATTTGGATTAAGAGGGATGTTAAATGCTTAGCTGATGCTTTGGCTAAGCAAGGGGTGGGAAGAAACGATTTATTCTGGGCTATGGTGTAATATTTTATTTTTTCTTTTTGGGAGAGGGGAGCTAAGAGAGTTTATCTCCCTCTCCTCTTTGTATTTGCTTAGTTAATACTTAATGAAATCATCCAGTTATTGATAGAAAGAATAATGTGAAATTGCATATTTAGTTGCTGGATTACTATTTTCATACTCATTTGTTCATCACAGAAAGAGAAGATTGAAATGGAAGAGAGAAAGAAACTCCAGGAGCAGGATGCACTTAGACTGATGAAAGAGAAGGACCTCACTGATCATGAAATTTCTTCACTGAAGGAGGAATTGCAAATAGCCAAAAGGACTTATGAAGAACGCTGCTTGCAATTGGAAGAAGAGGCCAAGGGAACTAAAGTTGGCCTGGAGGAGAGATTAAAAGAACTTGAATGCCTTTTAGATGCTTCACAGAAGGAAGTTAAAGAACTTGAGGCATTTACTGACTCTAAATCTGAGAATTGGAAGAAAAAAGAACGCAACTACCAGAATTTTATTGAGTCTCAGTGTGAAGCTGTGCTGGTTCGCTTAGCAAACCATGTTCTGAATATTTTCACCTTTTTCTTTGTGATATTTATAGTTTACGTTTTTTATTTATATTTTGGAACTTTCCAGGAACTGAGGATGGCTTCTGAATCCATCAAGCAAGAGGTTATAAACTCAAAAAGGAACTATTTAGCAGAAGTTAGTCGCTTGGGTAGGATTTGTTGTTCTATTAGTTTTTTTTCTTAGAGTTATGCTGGTATATTTCAATTTGTTATTCAAGATTTACTTTGTGCAGGTAGAAAGCTTAAAGGCTTAGTTGATGCAGCTGAAAATTATCATATGGTTCTTGCTGAAAACCGGAGGCTGTATAATGAAGTTCAGGACTTAAAAGGTGCCATTGGTTTGTGTATCACAATCAAGTGGCTATGTTGTATATCTTTGTCCTTCAATTCATTTTTGTGTTTCTTGGATAGGTAATATTAGGGTGTATTGTCGGATAAGGCCATTCCTTCCTGGACAGAACAGAAAACAGACAACCATAGAATATATTGGTGAGAATGGTGAGTTAGTTGTTGTAAATCCCTCCAAGCAAGGAAAAGACAGCCATCGATTATTTAAGTTCAACAAGGTCTTTGGCCCAACTGCTACGCAAGGTTTGCATCTTTGTCTTTGTCAATTTCAGAAATCATTTAAATTTTGTTTCTATCCACATAGGGGCTGCTTGATAACAGCTGAAAATGCTGAACTGAAAAGCTTATCACTTTGTCCTTTAACTAAGATTTTAGGGAGGTTGTGAGTTCCTTGATGGCTGAAACTAAAGTTAGGTAGGCCACTAAATCCTTAAAAATTTTATTATTTAATTAATTTAACAACTGAAAGACAAAATAATTAGTCTTTCAGTTCAGCGACTTCATCCATTATCAAACAGCCCCTTAGAGCCTTTTATATACATTATTTATTTATTATTGATGATGATCCATGTGAATATAGAATTATAAACTATTATTTTAACAACTAAAAGACAAAACAATTAGTCTTTTAGTTCATTAACTTCATCCATTATCAGACAGTCCCTTAGAGCCGTTTATTTACATTATTTGTTTATTTTTGATGATGATGCATGGACCTAGGCCCATACATACATACATACATCTATTGTAGAGACAGTGAGAAGATCTAGCAGCAGGGCTCTTTTTGTACTTTTACTTCTTTCGTTGTATATCTGTTTTCTGTACTCTTTCTTTTGTACACTAAGGGCAGATTTGTCTTTTTACTTTCTTTAATATAAATATCACTTTTAGGGTGTCGACAGTTGTAAAGTGACACACCCACCAATTTGTTTGTTTTTTTCTCTTTTCTCTTTTCTATTTGTCTTTTTGACTTGACTTTTGACATATACATATACATGCATACATATACATATATATATATATATATATATGATTTGATACATAAATTATACAACATGTATAATTTTTCTTGGGGGTTGAAGTGAGCCGAAACTCTCGGCGCTATTTTGTTAACCAACAAAAGTATCAGGCTGATCTAGTTAAACTAGCCAATCTCAGTGACTCCAAGATTGTGGATGCCCCACTAGAACTGAATTTGAAATTCAGCAAAGATGATGGTTCTCTTCTGGAAGATCCTACTCTTTGTCATTAACTAGTGGGGAGTTTAATCTATCTCACCATGACTTGGCTAGATATATCATATGCAGTTCATTTGGTGAGCCGGTTCGTGTCTTCTCCAAGACAACCTCATTTATCTACAGTTCATCGGATCATTAGATATGTACGAGTTACTTTATCACATGGGATATTTTTATCCTCTTCATTCCCATTAACCTTATGGCTTATGCGGGTGTTGATTGGGCTGGAGCCTTGATACCCGATGGTCCACTACTGGCTGGTGTCCATGTCTCGTGGAAGTGCAAGAAATAACCTATTGTATCAAAATCTTCCATTGGAGCTGAGTACAGAGGAGCTATGTCTTCCATGTGTAGTGAAATCATATGGATCCGAGCTATTCTACTTGAAATACTTAATGAACCATCACCATTTGTTCCTCTCTATGCAGACAATGTCAGTGCAATCAAAATCACCTGCAACCTTAACTTCCATGAGTGCACCAAACACATAGAAGTTGATTGCCACTTCATCTGCAATCTCCTTATTGAGGGTGTTATATCTCTTCCTCATGTCTCCTCCGGGCTCCAATTGGCAGGCCTATTGACAAAAGCAATGACTCGGGATCAATATCTATTTCTCATGGACAAACTGATGCTTATTCCTAGGCATCAGTTTGAGGGGGAGTGTAGAGAAAGTGAGAAGATCTAGTCACAGGGCTATTTTTGTACTTTTACTTTTTGTTGTACATCTATTTTTTTGTACTCTTTCTTTTGTACACTAAGGGCAGATTTGTCCTTTTACTTTCTTTAATATAAATATCTCTTTTAGGGTGTCAACAATCATAAGGTGACACCCACCAAACTGTTTGTTCTTTTCTCTCTTCTATCTTTGTTTTTTTGACATGACTGACATGTATACGATTTGATACATAAATTATACAACATGTATAATATTTAAGATACTTTTGAAGTTGTAGTCTTAGAAATGCTGCCTGTCCAAGGCTTGGGCTATGCCCCTTATAATGGGTGCTTAGCCCAGTTTAGCTTGGCCCATGATCATCCCAAATGCTTAACTTGCTATGACTGCCTATAACTTAGGTTCATATTCCCCTTTTGCAAAGACAACAACTAGCTGATTTTTTTTTTCTGATAGATAATAGAAATGACTTCATTAAATAAACAATTGTGCACACAAAGAACAATAGGCTGTAGGCTTGCAAAGTACATTGTAAGGACAACCAAAGACTACAAAAGCAACCAAAACAAAAACTTTACAAATTATAGCTAGCTGAATTTTTGACTTCACAATGGTAGATACATTTTCCTTGTGGTCACCCTTTCTCTAATAAAGTGATAGTTGACTTTGTTGAGATTGTTTGGGTGCAATGATGTTCATGTCCTTTTTGTTCTTTTGTATTTGGGCCCTCAAATGAGGGCTTACTTGTAATTTCTCTCAATAGTATAAAATCCCAAGTTTGAGAGAGTGAACAGTAACTCTCTCATCTCCATTCGAACCTTTCTCTCCTTATCTTCTCCTCTTCTTCTTTTCTTTCTCAATAAAACCTAGATATTGTAACTTGGCATGAAAGCAACTAGGAGGTCGTGGGAGAGTCTTTCTTTACTGGTTTTTGCTCAAAGGGTGAGTTGCTAATGTTAGACCACCATTGGATGATGTTAGCAGTCCGTATAGGTGGCGGTGACAATCTCTAAAAATTGTATGGCCTGATTCATCCTGATTTTAGATGAATTTTGGTATGTCTCGTTGTGGTTTGTTGCTTCTATGATTTGTTGTGAAAATTTCAAGTGAAAAATCGCAGAAATTCTTGTTTGATGGGTTTTTGTTTTGCACAACCTGGTTCTTCTAGGTCGTTTTCTATTTTGGGAATGATGGGAAGTGGTCCCGTATTTTTCTGAACCTTAAAAAATTTTTGGGAGTTTTTCTTTTGCCTCTATTTTACTGCTAGCTAGCTTTTTGGCCTCTTTTCTAGCCTTTAATTGAGTTTGGACCTTTCTTTTGGGTTTGTTTGTATTTCGGTTGGGTGTTCGGGTGCTCTTTGGTTGTCGATATAGTTGTTTGTGAGGTATGGAATCACCAAAAGATGTATAAATGGGTTCTAGTATGTTTCTTGGAAATGTTGATGTTTCTGGTGGTATGATAGCCATTGTAAAACATGATGGGAAATGTTTGGACCTTCCTAATTGACTAAACTTATTATCACAAGGAGAGGTAAGTAGGGATTCATTACAAGCAAGGAGGTGAAGTTGAAAGTTGAAGACCTTAAGCTTACAAAGTGGGAACAGGATAATTCACTAGTAATGTCTTGGCTGGTCTATTCGATGCAACCTCACATTTCTCGTAACTACATGTTCCTCTCAACTGCTAAAGATATTTGGGACAAAGTTGTCACCACTTGTTAACAATACTTCTAGAGTATATCGGTTTATGAGAGAAGCTTGTAGTATGCGTAAGGGAGAGAGAACAATGGCTTAATGGCTATGTATTTCTCTCTACAATCTCTTTGGGAAGAAATGGACCATTTGAGAACTTGAGTGGAAGGATCCTATTATGCCTATATTTTTTCCATCTCCTCTGTTTCTATTTCTTGTAGTGTTACAAAGGTAGTGCAGACTCCTCACTGGAAGGAAGCTATAAATCAAGAGATGGAGGCCTTGATAAAGAACCAAACTTGGGAGATTATGCCTTGTCCCAAGGATAAGGTTCCTGTTGGGTGTAAGTGGGTGTACACTTTTAAGTACAGATTTGATGGTTCAATTGAAAGGTATAAAGCTTGCCTTGTAGCCAAAGGGTACACCTAAATCTATGGCATTGACTATCTAGAAACCTTTGCTTCTGTTACTAAGATGAATTCTATTCATGTGATTATGTCACTTGCTGCCCATCTCTCTTGGCCTTTATGCTAGATGGATGTGAAGAATGCATTTCTTAATGGGGATTTGCAAGAAGTGTATATGGACTTACCTCTTGGGTAAGCTTCCCTAATAGTAAAGGGAAAGTTTGTTGTTTGAAGAAATCTTTGTATGGCCTCAAGCAGCCATAAACATTGCCCACAATCTTGTGCAACATGACCGTACAAGACATATTGAAGTGGATAGACATTTTATCAGAGAGAGGGTAATAAGTAGAGAGATTTGCCTACCCTATGTAAGGTCAAAAGACCAACTGGCTGATTGTCTCACTAAAGGCCTTCATTATCCAAATTTTTCCAAGAACTTAGACAAGCTAGGCATGATTGACACATATACTCAGTTTGAGGGGGAGTGTTGAGATTGTTTGGGTGCAAGGGTATTCTTGTCCTTCTTGTTCTTTTGCATTTGGGGGCCCATATGAGGGCTTACTTGTAATTTCTCTCAATAGTATAGAATCCCAAGTTTGAGAGTGTGAACAATAACTCTCTTCTCCATTCGAACCTTTCTTCTCTTCTCTTCTTCTTGTTTTCTTTCTCAATAAAACCTAGATATTGTAACTGACTTCATTATGTTTTGTCCTATTAATTCTGAGTTTGATTATGAGTAAACATGGATGGCAATCTCACTTTTTTTTTTGAGAATTTAAACTATGGTTTTATTAGATCAGTAAAAGAGTAGATATGGAGGCCTTTTGTACGAAGAGAATCTGTACAAAACAATATTAGGGATGAACATCATATACTAGGTAGTCTGAGTATTACACCATAGCTTTATGGGACTAAACAATCTTCATTTTTCTCAAGAGAGTGTTTAACCAAAGTTGGTTTGGAACACTATGATCCATAGCTTGCTACTTGCCTTTAGTCTTGGATCTTACAACGCATCAACAACTATTTTTTTCCTTGTCCAGGAGGCTGAATTACCACTAATAAAGGTATAGTATCCAGGGGTAAATTGTTGGTCATTAATTGTATTTCCCAATCTGCAATTGCATAGGCCATAATATAAAGATGATTATGGCTGGCATTAGAGAGTTCCTCTTCTTGGTCACCTCTTCAAGTTGCACAAAATTCTATCCGTCACATGAGCTGTCTTTGACTGATGTATATAGCGATTGATCACACAATGTATATGTGCTATCTGGTCTAGTGAAACATAAGTGCATGAGGCTATCATGAGTCTTTGGAAGATTCCCTAGTTTGGAAGGATCTCACTCTTTGCACATGGATTGTTATTTAGATCTGTGGGAGTATCATTGGTTTTGCTTCCAATTTTCTCATTTCTTGTAACAGGTTTAGCATGTACTTCCTTCAGTAATATATATGCCTTTAACTGAGCTACAATTTCTAGTAAATATTTGGGATTTTCCAGGTCAATGGATGTTTAGTGCCAATGAAGAGAGAACTGTTAGAGCCATATGATCCACTTTTTCCCCTTTTCTCTTATTAAACAACCCAATGGAGATATTGGATTTGTTCAGAAATAATTTCATCATTTTAGCTTTGGAAAATTGAAGCTTCTTTGGAAAGTTAAAAGGGCTTCTATTCTTTTCTGTGTCTAGATTGAAAGGAACTTGAAAGTATTCAATGACAAAAAGCAAGATATTAATATAACCATTGGCTTGGTAACAACGAGAATTGCTTACTTGGGTAGTGGGTCTTCATGAGGCAGGTGTTTGGACTTTGGAGGGATTTATATAGATTCTATCCTAGGTTAAAAATTACAATTTGATGCCAAAAAAGGGTTTTTTTTTTGCGAAAATAGAGGCCGGGTCTTCATGAGGCAGGTGTTTGGACTTTGGAGGGATTTATATAGATTCTATCCTAGGTTAAAAATTACAATTTGATGCCAAAAAAGGGTTTTTTTTTTGCGAAAATAGAGGCCAAGGCACCTACGGCTCCTTGGGACGTATAGATCTTGTAAAGTTACCCCCCCAAAAAAAAAACACCGCAAAGTTATGGCCTTCGAAAGTTTTGCATGCATTGAGTGTGCAACCTGCGACCTGGTCACCAGGTCAATGGTTGAACCAGCCTGGTCAAACGTTTCTTGACCAAGTCAATGGTTTTTGACCATCTGATGGGTCTTGACTTAACCGAACCCGGAATCCTGGCCAGGTGACAGTTTGACCAGTCAGGTCAACGGCAGGTTGAAAACATTGCTTCTGTTACCATGTTTTTCCTGCGTCATAGATGTTCTATATATATATATATATAGGCTTATAGAGAAGACAGCCCATTTTCACCGTAAAAACTGCTATTTTTCTCCTGATACATTTGTCATTACAGGTTAAAAGTAGATATCAATTGTCTTATTGGATCAGACGTGACAGTCCCTGATTACAGACTATGGGGATTGGTTCAGAACTGGTTCTGCACATTTACTTGTCAGGTTGCGACGGGGTCTACTCCTCACCCAACCTGATCCATTGACAGCACTAAAATTTCCTAATTGCTTCTCCTGTTTTTAGATTTTGTTCGATACCTTAATGGGTTGTGAATTGGTTTTTATGGGTATTAATCTTGTAGTGGGGGCACAGTTCTAAACTTATTTCTTGTAAAAGATTTTTTTTGTTATGCCTGATTGAATGTCTTTGTTTGCATTACTTTCTTGCATTTTTTGGTTGTCAAGCTTTCTGGGTTATATTAGTGTGTATCATGCATGGTCTCTTAGTTTCCTTTGCAAAATATTTTACCTGTTTTGGATTTTGATAAAGTTAGATAGTTCTTGTTATTTTCTTGCTCACTTTTTAAAATTACAATCTGTTCCTTTTAGTAGAAAGGGTGTTACTTTTGTACTGATAGTTTTGGCTTTGTTATTGTTTTTCAGAGGAAGTATTCTTAGACACCCAACCCTTAATACGCTCTGTTCTTGATGGTTACAACATATGCATTTTTGCCTATGGTCAAACTGGCTCGGGAAAGACCTATACAATGGTATGCACTCTCTTTATACCTTTCCCTATGAGAACTACCTTTGGAGTAATCTAGATATTGCTAGGTACTATTTGGTAAAAAGATATTTATTTTGAAGTTCCGAAGACCTTATAAACTGAAGTTTTGTTTCTCCCAGAGTGGTCCAGATGCATCATGTAAGGAGGATTGGGGTGTCAACTATAGAGCTTTAAATGACCTTTTTCAGATCTCTCAGAAAAGGAGAGGCTCCTTTTCATATGAAGTTGGTGTTCAAATGGTTGAGATATATAATGAACAAGTGCGTGATTTACTTTCAAGCGATGGTTCCCAAAAGAGATATCCTTAATATCTTTCCTTCAATTCTCTTGCATGATTTGTGTTCCGTAATTAAGTTTTTATTTATCTTAGCTTACAACTGCATTTCTGCAAATATAGTATGACATTTGGTTTCTATGTTCTTTGTTCTGGTCCTTGCACTTGTGTTTTTGCTAGGTAGGTAATACTAGTCTTCTTTTATGTTTTAGCACAATGTGGTTACTCTCAGACATGAACCCACGCTCTCAAGCTTGTCAGACTGAGATTTTACCATTATAGCAAGTAATGACCCCACCAAGACCCCAGATAGCTGGGACCAACATCGAGTAATGCCTTCTTTTTCCTTTTTAAATCTTGGTAAGCCCAAAACCCATACATGGGTCTGGGGCCTCTTTAACCTGGTCACATTTCCTGTCTTTGGAGGATCATGAGTAACCACTAAATGGTCTCGATGAAATTGCCTACTCCGTTGATTGGGGAGCTGATTACTAAATTTTTCTCTTTGCTGGACTTCATTAATCCTTGGGGAATTTGTGAGAGGAGATTCTTGGACATACAAGGTTGATCCTGGTGGGTATAATTGCAGGCCTTTAGATCAATCGGGGATCTGGCCAGACTAATGGAAAATTCCAATAGCATTCTGGGATGTAGAGTGAAGAAGTGGCCAATTAAGCAAGGTGGATGTTTTAAAATGAGCCTTGCCTGTGCACTTAGGCATTCCTGTGGTTTGCCTTTTTAAACAGTGGCCCAACCTAATTGCTTTCATGGGATCCATTCGGTCCTGAGTCTGATCTATGGAATTCAAATTGTAAACAGTTATGGAGGCCAGTTTATTCTTTGGATCATGTTGTCCTTGTGTAAAACACTATCATCTTTTTCTTCCCTTTTTTCTCAAAAAATCTTTGTTGCCTTTGACTTGCACACGCTTGGAATTTGGACTACTGCACAACCCAATGGACTATCTGTCCCTGATGCTAGCATGCATCCTGTCAAATCAACCACAGATGTGCTGGATTTGATGCAAATTGGACTTATGAACAGGGCTGTAGGTGCCACTGCTCTAAATGAAAGAAGCAGCCGGTCCCACAGGTTTTTGTCTATTATCTTTAACATGTGCATCTCCATATGAATTTATTTCTTTCTTTTGGTGTCTGGTGTCTGGCTTACATTTAGATTTGCCTATGCAGTGTTCTCACTGTTCATGTTCATGGGACGGACGTGGCTACTGGTGCCACTTTGCGTGGTAATCTACATTTGGTAGATCTTGCTGGAAGTGAAAGAGTTGATCGGTCTGAAGCTACTGGAGAAAGACTTAGGGAGGCACAACACATAAACAAATCTCTATCTGCTCTTGGAGATGTCATCTTTGCTTTAGCACAAAAGAGCTCTCATGTACCCTATAGAAATAGCAAATTAACTCAAGTCCTTCAAAGTTCTCTGGGTACCATTTTTCTTGCTGGTCCTTCGCTCATATGAAGTGGTATTTACATTACACTGTTCTTCATATGTCATCCACTGATTTTCATTTCTTTTCTGTGTGCTTTTACATGTTTCCTAAGGTGGTCAGGCCAAGACCCTCATGTTTGTGCAGCTTAATCCAGACTTGGATTCTTACTCTGAGACTATAAGTACCTTGAAGTTAGCTGAAAGGGTCTCTGGAGTTGAGTTAGGTGCTGCACGGAGCCACAAAGAGGGAAGAGATGTTAGAGAATTACTGGAACAGGTATTTTCTTTTATATTTATATCTTATATATGTTTTATACACATATGGAATTAGTATATTCATTTATGGAATACACACACATGGAATTTATACATATATGGAATATACTTGTATACATTTGTATCGCAATTTCCTGGCTGGGTTATACAGTCTCGGGCTAATATGGTCACCTCTATTGGGGGAGACCACTTGAGATTAGCTAATTGTCAAACAAATAGGAGATTAGTTAATGAGGAGTTAGTTCACAATTGGCCTTCCCGTTCATCTCACCTATGAGAAAGGGGCCAGTTAGACCTTCTAGATTGAAAAACGTGAAAGTGTTGTTTTCTAAGTGTGTCACGTCCCAAGAAAAAAATGAGGTTGTATGTTGAGAGGGTGATAGGATACAATGTTGTCAAAATCATATGATTTATGATGCGATTCACGATTTGAATCGTGAATCCCAGGGGTTTTGTTTGAATCTTATGTCCAAATCCTTTTTTGCAAAAATCTTACGATTTTTGTTTGAATCCTACGATTTGATTCATAAATCTTACGATTTCTATGATTCAAATAAATTCAATTAAGAATTAGTTCTCTACTTTGTTATGTTTTTGTTTATATTTAGTTATGCCAAGAGAGATTTTCTTTTAAGCCCTTACTAGAAAATGATTTATTTACGTTATTTAAGACTAGAAATTGAGTTTATTTTCCATCATATATAGGTTAATAAAGAGCCATTGTATGTGGATTTGTTTGACTTTCTAGTCAAACTTGATCATATTATCTCAGGCTTCTATTGTATAAGTGGTAAATTCTATTATTTTAGGTACATATATGGTATATATAGATTAAAAACAGGGTAAAGTCACTTTCCTATCTATATTTAGGCTTTTAATATATCTATATTTAATTTTTTCACAAGTTTATAAAAAATAGAAATAATCTTACGATTCACAATTTGATTTGATTCAACTTTCTCTACTATTACAATTTCCAAAACAGTGGTAGGATCTACCCCAATTTTCTTTCACAAAAGCACTTGTGTACTTGGTGATAGGTTTAAAGTTGTGAAGAATGAAGCACAAGAAAAAAATTCCAATTGGATTATATACAGCCTCACTTGATTCATGATCCTTCAAACCTCTCCCGAAGTGAAAGTCCAAATAAATGCCAGAGGAGGATATGGTCATGTTTGGTTCAACTTTCATTCTTGCTCATTTTTTCCAATAATAAAATGAAAAAATGAAAAAAAAAACGGTAGAAACGAGTAGAATGAGAAAATGTTTCTACAAACCAAACACTTTTTTTCCAAAAAAATGAATTCTTTTTATGGCAAGAATGAAAATAGATTTTGAACCCATTTGGTTACAAATTTGATTTTCATTCTTTTTTTATGGAAGCAATTAGCACCTATTTAAAATTAATTAAAAAGAATTTAGTTTGTTGTATTGAGTAGGGCGTTATGCAAATGAAGAAAAGAGCTTGGAACTTCAAAATAGAAATGGAATCTACAATTTGTAAAATTAAAAATAAATTTAATAACATGAAGTACAAAATATCTAGCAATTTCATGAAATTGATAATAGTATATTCAATAAAAACAATATATTAATAAAGTCCTAAAATATAATAAAGCATATAAAATCATGCTTCATACTGTGTAATTTTCATCTTTCAAAGAAGCTCTTGTGCTGGTGGTCATAAACCACTAGCCTAGGTCTCAAAAACCACTGGCATAGATTTTTACCTGCAGATGGCCGGTGTTCAATATCTGTCAGCATATGTTTTCACAACAGATTGCTGACCATCCGCCTGTAAAAATCTATGCCACTGGTATTTTAAGAAGTAGGTCAGCGGTTTATGACTGCTGGCGTAGAATGTTTTTTAAAGAATGACAATGTGCAATATGAGGCACCATTATTTTCAATGCTGCAATTTAGCATAATTTTTATGCCATGAACTCCTTTTTCATTTTAAAATGAATATAGCCCATGCAAGAATTTTGTAACCAAATACTCATGTGATTCATTCTTGCTCATTCTTTCCCAGAATGGGTAAGAATTGAAAGAATGAGGCTTGCAGCAGTGAATCGACATGGCATATAGAAACACAAACAAAGATGTGAAATTTCCAAGCTGGAAATAAGATCAAGTGTTGGAATACTCCTACTAGAGGGAAATCCCTCAGCAAAGTAACTTTCAAAACTTTATTATGTCTCCGTGAAGATCATGCCTCATGAAATGAGAAAAGAAGTTTAGAATTGCACAGGTTAATTTCCAAGGAGGGTTTTCTGCTTCTCATGTTGGCAGTCCAGAATTTAAACCATTGGTTGAAAGTGCATTAGTGCTCTAAATGCTCTTTAAAGAAGAGTTCAAAACTCAAAAGCTTATCAAAGTCAAGATGGAATCCTGGAGCATTGTCATCCATTTTCCAAACATGGTAAAACCTCTCATTCTCATCCTCCCTATCCCTAAACATCCTTCCTTAAATTTGTTGATAGTGCCCCAATTCGATTAGGTGTTTTTTCTTTTTCTTGGTTTTCACTCTGTTCTATAGGTGTAATGTGAGCTGTGCCGGGCTGGCATGACCCACTTTTGTTGTGTTGCTGCATTGTAGTGGGCTGTGCTGGCACTGTGATTTTTCTTTTTTTATGAAGGAAAAATACATATTTATATACTTATATATTACTAATGTATTATACATATTATTATTTATTTATATCTGTAATTCTATATATATTATTAATGTGGGCTGTTCTGGTACGGGTGCGGCCCACGGGTCTCAACCTCCTGGCCCAGCCCAGCCTGGGGTTGTGGGCCCATGCATGACATAGCACATGTCCATGTTGTGCTGGGCCTTGCAGGCCCACGGGCAGCCCACCCCCGTTTTACACCTATACTCTGTTCCTAGGAAAGTCTTGTGAGTTTTTCCTGTATCCTGGCGATCACTTCTTGCTCTTATCCTCCTTAAATTCCATTGTTTTCTTTGAGTTAGATACTATGTTAAATCATCTAACTCCATTGGATCAATGTCAAGCTCTACAAATTATTCTCTCATTAATGGATTTTATATCCTTCAGGTACTGTAACAATCAAAGAAGCTTTAGGTGACTACTGATGTGCAAAAAGTATGTTCAGTGTTTTAGAAGGGATGCCTCTAATGCGCCTAAACTCACAATCAAGGTTCATATTGTGGGGGTGATCCTTGCATTAACCCAGATGCACTTTATCTATGGCTTGTTTCTAAGTTTTGATGAATTAATCCTTATTCCTCTCATATTAATGAAATTTCACAGTTATTGATAAAAAACTTGATTTGATTCTAAATAGGTAATTACCTGTATTTTAGGTTGAAATGTGATGTTTAAATATAAATAGTTTGTCTTATGTAGGACTTCAAACATACCAGATTAAAACCTTCATCTTAATAACAGTGTGCTCAAACCAGTTAAGCTAATTTTCAAAATATTGTATTTCTTCAAATTAAATTTGCATATTCTTGTATGTTGGGTTTACCTTTCTTTTTCAAAGGGGCACCTCACTTCATTCAAGTGTATCATCAGGCTTTAGGGACCACATCTGTTGCTTCTCACTTTTAATACGTTGTGTAAGCAAGAAATGTGTTGGCACAGAAAAGAAAAGGGAATACACAAATAAATGGGACATTTCTTTAATATGCATGTGTTCTTTCATGTTCGGATATGAGTGCTTTATTAATAATAAAAGAACTGTTCTTTCATGTTCTTTTGAAGTCCATTTTTTCATTACCTTCTCTCTGGCCTTGCAGGTGGCATCACTTAAGGACACAATTGCAAAGAAAGATGAGGAAATTGAGCGGTTACAGTTGCTAAAAGATCAAAGAACTGTGTCTTCTGGTGCCAATGGCGAGAAGCAGCGCACAAGAGTTCTGGGGCATGGATCTCCCTCTCCAAGCAGACACTCTCTCAATGGGGCTCCTTTGCGAAACCGGAGACTGTCAAGAGGGAAAGGCTCAGGGCATGGTAAAGTAGCCTCTGATCAGGATAACTGCTCAGAGTGCAGCGATAAGCATTCTGAAGCTGGTTCTCTGCAATCTATGGATGACTTCAGGCACCATAAAGAATTTTTCACTCAGTTAAAGCATGCTACAGGGGATGCAGGAGAAAATTTTCCTGCAGATATTGAACTCTTAGGTTTTGGGGATGCAGATTCTGAGGAGAGGTTAAGTGACATATCAGATGGTGTTCTTTCCTTGGGTACTGAAACTGATGGCTCAATATGCAGTGTTGTTGAGTTCACCCTTTTCCCTGAAAGTTCAAAGACAATAGAGAATGCAGACAAGTGAGTATTTTTACTTGAGGCTTTGGATTTTTGCAAATATAATTCTTACCTTAGTAGTTGTAGAAAAGTATAACCGTGAGTGTCTGTTTTCTCTAAGCACCCAGATGGATTAACGGTCACAAAGGGTAGTGGTTAAGTCATCATACCTTAGTAACCAGAATAGGCCCTAAGGTGGGTGCCTGGATTGGGAGTTGAAATGCATGGTATTGCACTACATGAAAATTTGAAAATTAGGAGTTTGGGGTGTATACATTTTAGAACAATGAAACAGTTACGTGAATACTGATTTGATTATGGAGCTTCTCAAATTTGTTTATCTTACTTTCCAACTCTGGTCAATGATCTGATTAAGTGCCATGAAGAAATAATCATTTCAATTAATATGTCTAAATGTAACAAAATACTTCTCATATTATCTTGGATGGCTATTGTCTGTAAATGTTCCAAATCATGAAGTGCTTCAAACTCAGAAACTCTTCTCTTCTTTAAAGTCTTTTGCCTTTGTTTTATAAAATATCCGAGTAGCTACTTAGTGCCAAAAAGAAAGGTCAAAAGTTGGGTGTGTATCCAGTCTCCCCCTTCCAAAATCCCTGGTATCTGGGCGACTGGGCATCATTGGTTAATGTCCTTTTTTATTTTCTCAAATATAGGGTTATGAGTTTTCACATATTCACCAATGTCGGCGTGGAATTAGCTTTTGGTTTGATAGTATGACTTACTCTAGTAGTACTTCTATGAGCTTTTGAATCTGGGTGTTTCTTTTCTCTGAAATAGCTATGCGGGTTCTGTATAAAAGATGACATGATTGCAAATGATAGGAGTACAAGTAAGCGGGCTCTGTATGATAGAAGACATGATTGCAAATGATAAATGATAGGAGTACAAGTAATATTCCATTCTTGTTAATTGTTATTTATCTTTTAGAAAATCAGTATCATATTTAGGTTATATAGGCATCTTCATGTTTGTGTCGTATATTAACCAGTGTCTTGAAAAACATGGAAATAGAACTGCTTTTTTCTGCAACTGGCAGGTCGGTGTTACATCTTTCTTGGTCAAATGGGTTAGCTGGTGATATCACAAATCAAATAATAGAAATAAAAAATAGATAAAATTCAGAAAATGCAGAAAATTATAGAAAAAAACTTTGATAGTGTAATTGTCGGTTGAAAACTTTGATGTTAAGTTCATCCACAAAAGACATGACCTTAGGGATCTATATTTTGGAAAAAAGCTGTGTACCATGAAGAGTTGTCTTTTACCTTCAAGCCACGTAATATCCATTTTCAGATCTGTTAGCTCTGCAATTGGTATTCAGGTGGTGTAATGAATGTAAACATTTTCATATCATGTCACCTTTGCTGTCCTGATAATGCCTCTATAGGGCGTGGGATATACGATACATGGCCATGGTTCTAAATATTGCTGCAGCATTATATACTGGACCTTGATTATGTTTGGTTAATATTTCAAAAAATATGATGTAGGGATAGAGCACCACCTAAAATCCCTCGACCGCCACCAAAGCAGGGACAAGCAGCATTAGTTCAGCCATCATCATCTTCATCATCCAAGCACTTGTCCAAGTTGTCAACAGGTATGTATAGTTTGATATCTTGCGGATTAGTTTATATTCTTTAATCTTCATTATCATTTAAGCCTTTCACCCCTCAAAAAAATAAATAAACAAGAAAAATCATTTAAACCTTGTCCCAACTATATTCTGGTGGTGTAATGAGCTCTTATTCTTTTCATATCTATATCTTTCCCAGGTTCAAAGAAAACCACAGCCAGCTCGTCTTCAGCCAAATCCTCCAAACGACGGCTGTAAGATTACAAGGCATTTAGATGGAAAGTAATTCTTTTATAGTTAGTTTTCTTTTTCTTTTATCGGGTGATTTTTTATGCCATCTAACTGGTATTTTCAATTGTAGAGCGGTTTCTTACCTCTCTTACTATTTATTGTTTGCCACGTTTGTTACATATTGGCATCATGTATGGCTTAAATCTAAATATCAACGCCCAATGTGCAATATATGTTTTAAATTCTCCTCTGAAATCACTTTCTAACTCATGTTTTCCAATGATCTGTTTCAGTTTGTGGGAGGCTTTTATAGCAATATTTGCACCGGTTTATTCTGTGATGTCTTGTGCATTACGAGTTTGGATCTGATGACCACAACACATGTACAACAGATGTTCTCGATGTGTGGTTGGGTGAACGTGGCCAGGAATGTGTTGTGATCAGCAGATCCGGACTCTGCATTACACACTTGTGCTAGCACGGTTACATTCCACTCTCATTGTTAATACTTAATAGTCTAGTATCAATTATTACAACTACTGTTTGTATTTTATTTCTGAAAAAACAATTTACTGATGAAATCCTTACTCATTTGTTCTGCTAAATCTTGGTGTCTTGGTTTTAAGGATCTATTTTTGTTATTATCAATATCCGAAAATAAAAGAATGTGGTTTCCTACATAGTTTCAACTACCCGTCTACGGTTTGTTGGTTTGGTGAGGTTATCAATTTAACTTTGAGCTCGTGTAAATTGTTGAAACCTACTCCGAAGTTTTTGACCATTGCTACCTCCCCTAAAGTTTGGTAATTGCAAACACTTTGGTAATTCCAAAATATCCATACAATTTTTATTGAGGCTGGTTTCTACGAAACCTATAAAAATTTTATAAACAACAAAAATATAGAGAATTTAAAGTTCCAACTTTATCTTTAAGGTTCAGATTGGAAGGAGTACAAATATAAATATATAGAGATTAAAACCTTATATTTTATATGTATTTGTATTGTACATATTTGCATTCGTACTCTTTTCAAATTGAGCCTACACCATTGATATGGGGGGAAAATTTGATAAATAAACATTTTGGTCAAAGGTAACTAAATGCATAGGTATTTTGGACATTTTACCAAACTTCATGAGAGGTTTCAGCAACATCATTAACTTCAAGAAGGTTAGCGTAATATGGAAACAAACCCTAGCTACTCTATATAAACTTATGCCCTTATGACTCCTACAAGAAGTTTTCTAAAATATGGTAACACTCTTTAATAGGATTTTACTAAAAATCTTTAAAAAGAAAGTCCTAATTGAACAAAAATTTAGAAATCATGATTTAACACTAACTTGGTAATTATGAATTAAGGTAAAAGTTTCACATTGATGCTAATTTGGTAAATTCGAACTAAGATAGAAGTTCTGGCATTAACTTGGTAATTGATTATTAGGTTGGATCAATAACGTTACTGCAATTTCTTATTGGTTGTGGAGTGTTCTTAACATGCATAGAACTTATTGGCATTCTCCTGTATTACATCATCCTCATTGGGTTGGAGAGAATATAACATTGGATTTAAGTAATCATTTGAATGATCGCCAACATACGATACCAAGTGTTTGACATTGAAGACATTATGGTTATATATATGGTTGAATAGTTTTAGTGGTGTCTAACTTTCCACGTGCTCAACTAGTTGATGGTGTTCTGTTAAAATGGCCCAAAGATAGTCTCATGCATTAAATACTATTTTCATTCTCTTTCCATCATGTTGTTTGTAGTTAGCATTAGCTACCTCTAGCAAAAGTTTAAAAAATCAACACGTATCGGTCGATACGTATCGTATCGAGAGCAGCCTGATATGTTTCCATAGAGGGTGTATTGGGGTTCTGACCTATTCAGGGGGTGGAGGAACCTTAAATTGGCTCCCCCTAAACCAAATTTGAATAATAAATTAAGAAAAATAAAAAAAGGTATCGATACGCCCTTATCGACGTATTGGGATTTATAACATTGACTCTAGCTTGTTGTGGATTTCTTTTTGGAGGTTCTTAAGCTTCTACATCACATCATTAGCCTTGTCATGAATTTGGCCTTGCCAAGTATTGATAGCAATATCAACGACGCTATAAGGATTGGCCCCATATATTACCTCAAATGATCTGAATTTGATGCTCCTGGTTTTGGACCTATTGTAGGCAAACTTAGTTTGTGTTAATGAGAGATATCACTGTTGATCATGGCTAATTGTAAGGGTTCTAAAAAGATTTCCAAAACTCTTATTGACTATTTCTGTTTCGCCAATAGTTTGAGGATTATATGAACTATTGAATAGAAAGACATAGAGTTTGGTAATCTCGTTAAATAATAAATCAGCAATAAGTGAGTCATCCAATTTCTTCCTACAAGCCACCATTTTACGATCTACTTGTCACTTAGGAACTAGGGGGCATGTATAGTCCAACATTGGTTACTATCCCCTTAGGTACTTGGCATATATGATCGCTTAACAAATCTCGTGATATCCCTTTTCATCTTGGACCAAAAGTAACTTGTTGAAACGATATGAATTCGTGCTTCACTAAGTGTCCTTGGGGTGGGCCACTCAACAATGGCATGAACCTTTTATAGGTCCATAGAAACTCATTCCCTTGATATAGCATGTCCAATGAATAAGACCCGATCTGTTGCAATAGTACACTTCTTTATAGTTGCATAAATTTGCTTGCTATGCAAAGTCATAATTATGTCTTGAAGATGCATTAAATGAGAGTTCATATCAGTGCTATATATGAGAATATCATCAAAGTGTACCATAACACACTAACCAATAAAAGGATTGAGAACTTGGTTCAGGACCCTCATGAATGTGTTTGGTGCTTTAGACAAACCGAATGGCATCACTAGCCATTCATATAAGTCATTTCGTGTTTTGAATGTTGTCTTCCACTCAACATTAGGATGAATTCTATTTTGATGGTAGCCTGATTTCAAGTGCAATTTAATGAATACATTGGCCCCAGAAAGTTGATCCAACATGTCACCGAAACGTGGAATTGAAAACTAATACTTGATAGTTATTTTATAAATTGCTTGATTGTCAACACACATTCTCTAAGTGTCGTCCCTCTTTAGCACTAACAAAGTGGGCACCATGCATGGGCTCATGCTATCTCGTATGGACCTCTTAGGAAGTAATTCATCTACTGGCCTATGTAACTTTTCATATTTAGTGGGATTCATTTTATAATGGGCCTCGTTGGAGATGATAGCACGTAGTGTTAAATCTATGCAATGTTAGATATCCCTTAGTGGTGGTAATCTTGTAGATAAGTCATCAGGAAACGCATTACTAAATTCATAAAGCAAAGGTCTCACCTCTTCTAGAACCCCCATACCCATGGTTCAAAGTATCGATACGATACACCCCATATCAGGGGGGTATCATATCGTATCTTTTGTGAATGATACGGTCTGAAACGCCTGTTTCGGACCCCCAATTTTTTTAATACTAAAAAGCATGATTAAAGCTTCCCAAAAAACCAAAATTTGAAAAAAACTAAAAAAAATAGAGTTTCAACTGTTTATAAGTACTCAGACGATACAGTCAAAACTTATATCGTATCGATACTTTGAACTTTGCCCATACCTTTTAACTCAAGCCTCTTCTCGATTAAAGCATACACAACACAAACATCTTTTAAGACATTTGTGAATTCAGCCATGGCAAATAAGCTATAACCCTCATCGAGTTTTGGTTTAGATATAATCTCTTGTGATGGACATAAAGTCAGTTTTTTCCCTTTAAGCGCAAAAGAGTAGTTGTTGTTTTGCTTGTCATGGATTACATGGTGGTTAGGGCTGTTCGCGGGTCAGGTTGGGTCGGTTTACTACAGTTTTTCCAACTGAACTGACATAGAAACCGAAACCGACCAAATGTTAAGCAAAACCGACCTGGTCAGTTTGAGTCGGGTTGGGTCGGTTTGGGTCGGTTTCGGTTCTAAGTTCATCCCTGTGATAAAATCTTGCTAATTTTAAAAACAGTCATAAATTGAACATCATTTCAGCCATCTCCTATGAAAAAATTTAAATGAAAAGTTAATTACAAAAGTTGTTCATTAATCACCATTCACTAATCCAAAGTTTCTTGCAACCATTCAAAAATTAAGTGGCCTAAGGGGCTTTGGAACTTCATGTTCGAACTAGGAATTAAGTTGGTTCAGTTCGGGTCGGTTTCGATTTTCTTGTGTAAAAACCGAAACCGACCCAAATCATCGGTTTAAGAATTTGCCCAACCCAAAACCGACCCGTACTAATGAAAACCTGGTCGACTCAAGTTGGGTCGGTCCGGGTTGGTCGGTTTGGTCGGGTTGGGCCTTCTTATGAACAGCCCTAATGGTGGTCAAATTTCCACTGGCACCTAAGTAGTAAAGGGCAAACATCCATGCATATAACATCACACCACATAGGATCATTATAATTAATTCCAATAGAAAAGTCAACTAAACATCATTGTGTGACTGAGATCTCATTCAGTTTCCAGGTTCAACATGTGGATAGCTTCTTCTGCTATATCATTCTAACAATTCTTGTTATCAATTACAAGGCTTGTTATCTTTTTCACCTATAGTACATGTGGTGTGGAAGATATTATTTCTTAGTTAATCCGACAATTCACCCGTAAGAATTAGGAATGATCGCTACATCACCAAGGCCTCTCCTATATCCCCATACACCAGTTCTCCCTCCAAGGTTTTTTTATAATAGGAGTCAAACACATGTGGGGCTAAATAGTCAAGTGCTTCTAAGTGAACTAATTAGATTTTAATTAGGTCCAAGACCCTAGTTTTGGTTTAGCCCACAAGACTATGATTAGGTGGTTGGATTTAGAGGTGGCTTTGGGTTACTACATGGGGGTGGTTTGGCCATATTAGTTTGGGTTCGACCCAATTGATTAGGTTTGTTGCTTTTTCTTTTTATGGTCAGAGCAAGTTGGCGTGCCATAGAAACATCATAACAGTCCAATAGGTCTAATACATCCTGAATATTTGGTCTCAGCCTACCAATATACCTAGCCACAGGGTTCAAAGTATCGATACAAGGCGATATGCCGCTAGGGCGTATCGGCTTGTATAATCATTTTTCTTAAGTTTTATTTTTATTTTCAAAACTGGTTCAGAGGGGTCAGTTTAAGTGTCGGCTACCCTCTAAACCAGGCCCTGACCCGATACAACCCCTATAGGGGCATATCGATAACGAG